CCCCGCCCCGAGGCTGCTGATCACCCGAGACCCCAGACAGTCCAGGGAACCGACGCACGGGATCCCCTTAGTCATCTTTATGTTGACACGTTGGAACATTTGGGGCTGCATACAGATACCTAAGTTGACGTCACTTGTTTATTTTTTTAACGCGGCTCCTAGAAGATCGAAGGGAACACACGTAGCCCGCGTTTTGTTTCTGCTGGACGGCGGGCTGGGCGGGCTGCAGGGATCGGCCCCCTCGGCGCCCCCGCCCCCCGCTCCCTCTCCTGCAGGAAGCTGTCCCCTTTCTCTGCGGCCACTTCCTCGTTTGAGAGTCGCCGCCACCACTGAATTTAAGACTCATCATCAGTCTGTTAGCTTGGCAGGAAAAGGGGAGCCACTCCCACGTTCAAGGTACACGTCGGCGAACATCCTGATTTGAGAAGCGGGGAAACAAGGGCGCTTTTGTGCTCTGGGGAGCCTGCATTTGTTAGCACACGCGCCGCGCTCCGAGGCTTCTTTTCCGTCCTCTGTGGGACTCCTGAAGGTCACCACCGGGACCTCTGCACCTCCCCCGCTTCCAGTAGAGCAAGGGTCAGTCGGAGGCCGGGGATACCTGTCTGCGTCACCGGGGCGACTTTACAGGCGCTGAGACTTCCTGCCTGGAAAGACTATGAACCCTGGCCGGTTATCTCGGTGGTTAGAGCATCCGCCCGTGGGCTGATGGGTCGCAGGTTCGATCCTGGTCAAGGGCATGTACCTCGGTTGCAGGCTCGATCCCCAGGCCCCATTGGGGTGCATGCGGGAAGCAACCCATCCATGTGTCCCTCTCACATCGATGTTTCTCTCTCTCTCCCTTCCACTCCCTCTGTCTGAAAAGCAATGGAAAAAATACCCACAGGTGAGGATTGAAAAGAAAGATTGAACATGTGCCTCACCTGGTGCCGGCCTCCACCCTGGCTCAGTGGGGCACCGTCCCCTCTGTTCTCTGGGCACAAGTGGGTATTGCCTCACGTCTGCACCCTAACTCCCAATGTTTCTATAGTTGCCGTGACCCTGTTTTGCAGAACACAACTGGGGACCTGAGACAGGGACATTTGTATCACATCTGGACTTCAGAGGTGCTGATGGAGTCAGAGTTTAGATGCCAAAATATTGGGACTTGAGCCTTTTCAGCCGATGAGGGCAGAGGGAAGGGATTTGTGACACCATGACCTGGATTAGTTTGCAAAGGTTTGGAGGGAGTATAGCCCCAGAGTGTCCAGTAAAGTATTTACAGGAAGAAAACACTGGGACCAATGGGAGAGCAAACCAGATGATGCAAGCCACTGGCTATGGTCGAACCCCACTCTGGTTGAGTCTGGGCCTCCAGGGCCAGAGCCAAGGACACACCTTGATGCAGGTGACCACAGGGAGGCTGTTCTGCAGCCCAGGTGGCCATAGCCAAGTCATTGTTCTGTGAAAACCAGGGCCTGACCAGGGGTCTGGCTTGGATGGGTCATGGTATTTTGACCCCTTGGTTGCACTGATGCCTTTTCTTCAAGGCGTCTCTGCCTGTCTCCAATTGGCCTCACCTACTGGCCCTGTGGGAGCAGCAAAGTGGGGTTCTGAGAAAACTGGGGGGAGGTTTGAGATCCCCTGTCTCTCAGGTTGGTCGGTAGCTGGGGGAGGGAGCTGCAGGGCTGCATCCAGCCACCACAACACAGCCAGGTTCATTGAACGCCTCTGCCAGCCTCAGCCCTAGGTGGAGGGCTGATGTTCCCCCTTGTGCCCTGGCCTTGGGTTGGAGTTGCCCTCGGAGGTCAGGGTATCCTGCCCTTGTGGCTGTGGCATCTCTCTGGACCAGCACAGCTGCTTCAGGACATCCCCCAGGAGTTTCTCATGCTCAGAGAAGGTGCCCATTAAACATGGGTTGAACTCTTGAGTGATTAAATGTTTTGATAAATACTGTTTTCCAAAATAGTCCTCAGAACAAACAGCTCTCTTGCCACCTGCAGTTGGGTTGGTGTTGAGGGGTGAACAGGAGGCCCAAGCTTGCCTGGAAGTGCTCTGAAGGACAGCTCCTGACTGCGGGCTCTCTGCTGAGCAGCAGTGGGGACAGGACAGAGGGCTGTGCCGTATGTGAGCTTGGGCATGGGGGAGAGTGGGACTGGGAAGCAGGCACAGTAGTGGGCATGGCCCTGGTGGACTGACATGGGCCGAGACTGCAGAGTGGACAGTGCTGGGCATGGAGAAGATTCTTGTAAGTCACAGTAACTGGTTGTTCAGTGGTCACAGCAAGGGCCCTGATCTGGCGACTAATGGCAATCGCCTTAGTGGAAGAAGGTCCATCTGGGGGTGGGTGAGGAGGTGGGAGCTTGGAGGGTGACTGGGGTATGAGGGGGAGGGGAGGGAAGCACAGGCTCTGGCTCGCTGGGGTGGGGAGGCCAGGCCCAAGGGGTTCAAGGTGTGATTAAAAAAATCGGATTAGACTTGGGACCCGAGAGACACGTCACGCAAGTTCTGTAGGTGCCACCTCATGTTACCCTTCATCGGAGGAGGAGCCAGATCAAAGTCCTGGCTGTTGGCCCTGTGCCTGTACAACTTGGCACTTGGGGTCTGAGGTCACATGTCTAACTAAAACTGGGAAAACCCAAGAACAAAAATAGTACACTTTTTGGTCTGAGGAAGGAAGCGTCACGAGGCCCTTGTCCAATAAACTGGACAGCCAACTGCACAGGTACAGCCGCTGCCCCAGAGCCCAGCCTCTCGAGGTGGGGATGTGGCTCACAGGTGGCTGTCTGGCATCAGTGGGAAAGGCCTGAGCTGTGCCGTTTCACTGCCCCCCACCTGAGCCTGTCCCACTGCACTTGGGCAGGCCGGTTCTGGGAGAAGCCAGGTAAGGTCTCCACTCCTGTGGAATTGAGAGCTGGGGCCCCTGTTGGTGCTGCGTCTGAGCCAGGCAATGCGGGAAGCGCCCTCTTGTCCTGTCATTCAGCACAGAGCCCAGCCTCCAGGATCCCACAGGGGTCCTGGTAAGGAGGGCAGGGGAGGTGACCAGCCCTATGGGAGCCATCCTGGCACAGGCATGTGGTCACTGACCTGTGGGGCAAGAGTTCATTTCCTTGCCTGCCCCAGCTGCAGGGCTCACCCTGCTGATAAGCACTGGGAGGAGTGGCAGGCCCAGGTGGGTATGGCCAGGGCAGGGACTGAGAACAGCAGTGTCC